GAGAGAGAGAGAGAGAGAGAGAGAGAGAGAGAGAGAGATGGAGAAAGGCAAATGTGAGAGTGTGTTGGCATCTGATCGCATGCGTCGCTCACACGGATACACTCTGACGATGCAAATGAGTTCATCCCTTAAATATATTATCTAAACCATTAAAAACTATTGGATTCATTTAAAGATTTATTTTATGATTGAATATGTCATTTGATATGTCAATCGAAAGTATTTAACAAATCTATTTACAATAAACCAATTAAAAGTAACACAAAAATAAGTACAATTTTTAACATTATTTTTTGTACTTACATGTTAGTAAAGTTATTAATATTTGAAAGAAAAATATAAGTCAAAGACTTTCATAAATAACGTTTCCACCATAAATAACATACAATAATTAATTGAATCTCTTGTTCTAACTTGTAAGGATATATTTTTATAATTAAACAACTCACACACAGGGATGCTATACGTTAACCACAATTCGGGTAATACTTAAAGAATAGATTAACATTGACCATAGATTTAATATGAATTCCATGGACATAGCATTGTTCGTAGGACTAACATTAGTCCCATATAGTTAGCATTGTCAATAGCCTTAGCATCACCTATGTCATAGACTTAAGTTGTAATTCCATAGAAACCCATGTATTATATAAGCATTTTCCCATAGAAAAAGTGTTCCTCATGTTATCCTATGTGAGTCTCCTCATGTTAAAGTATAACCATAGGATTAACATGGAATCCCATGTTAAATCACGTAGGGTGGGGGAGGGACAGGATGGAAACCGAACGATCCTATAAACCACAGTTTTCATAAATGAATTGTGATTAAAAATTCAGTTCATTGAATACTATTAATTAATATATCACACATTTGAAGATATGATAGAGTAAAATATAAAGATATTAAAAATATTAAATTTTCTTTTTTTATATGATTTAGAAAAGATTTTATAGTTTTAGAACTGGTTCATTGTTAATTAAGCACAAAAACTACATGCATTAATTGCAATAATTCCTTACAAACATAAAAATAGCAATTTATTGCTACTAAAATTTTAATATAAGCCAAAACTTGTTTAAATTAATAGAATTAATGCTAGAAATGCGGATCTTTATGTTTAAGGGATGAAAACGATTACATTGTTATACACTCTCTCACTGATGGCTCTCAAGCCATCTCCTCATCGGTTGGCCTTCTTTTTCTGCAATTAATTCAAATATAAAGCAAAACAAGTAAAGCGTTTGTCTCTTCTCTACCTTACTTTACTTGTGAACCAAATTTAACCAAATATGACGTCCAATGGCTTATGTAGTGTTACGTTTCAAATTCAATGTAAAATGTTTCCGTGTATTAGTAATTCCTTATATTTTATTTTGTCACATACAATATATAGGTGACAACAATCATTATAATCATGTTTTATGTAGCTGGGTCGTATTATGCAATATTCTTAAGATGCAGATAATAAGTTACCTGTATATTTTCTTACAATCTTTCCATTATTGGGAATCTATTTTGATGAACAACTTTATGCTTCTGTGGGTTAAGCAGAGCGATCAATACTCATGTTCTCTCTCTCTCTCTCTCTCTCTCTGTTGTGCTATGCTTTGCTCTCTGTGTTCACTCAGTCTGTGTTCTAAGTGTTGTGTTATATGAAACATAAAGACCACCAAATTCTGTATTATTGTAATTCATAAGTAAAATAGTGTAAAACCATTCAATCAATTATGGAAGTGTGTTATCTGTTGCAACTCGTTGTGTTTGGATAAACATAGAGAACATTACATTATGCTAAAATGTTTAATTGATATGTTTGATTAAACTATAAATTGGAATCATGTTATAAAATGCTTAGTAAGAACATGAATTGTAAGTTACGTTTTTTCTAATCTTGTATTTCTCAGCTATCAATTAATTGCTTATCATTTATTCAATTATTGAAATCATGTTTTATTATATTCAAAATTGACAAATATTTATTGTTTTGTGATTTACATTTAAATTTGAATTGATGTGAATATATAAGCATCTCTACAAATGTGATGAAAATTAAAACTATTTATTCATTAAATATAATAAATTTGAATATAATTGCCATTTTAACGACAAAACCAATGGGTATTCCCAGAACTCACATTAAATGTGAAGTGTAATTCCCAGATCACCTCGGCCATTTCTATCACTTTCTGATGCCTTACTTTGCAAAACACAGTCCACTTCCATAGAATCTAATATTAATATAATGGCATTCCGTCTGTATTTTAATGCCATTTTCATCACACTTTTTGTTTGGTTTCCTCAATATGTGAAATAATTCATATATTAAAACGATTTCAAATTCATCTCTCATTTTTACGAGACTACAAATTTGATGAAATTCAAAATGTTTTTAAAAATTTTTCCAAAATTACATTCTTATATAAGTGTCCATTTGATTATTAAATGATATTAATATTTAAGGTTTAATATATCATTATTATAGCAATGGAACAACAATTTCATTAATTTTTTATTTGAGCATTTAATTCCTTACGACCAAAGCTGATTATTTAGACTGAATTAAACTAACATATATAATTGTTTTACAGTATTAAAATATCTGATAATAATTTTTAATCACATAACCGATTAGGATTTATATAATTTAAAATAATAATTAAAATTTGTCGATTAATCAAATGATTTATCAACAATATTAGTCAAGCAATAATTACATTTTTTATCGTCAAATAGTTTCACAATTTTAGTTTTTAAGAACATTTTAATGTTTTTTCTAAATATGATCATCAATTGTGAATTAAATATTTATTATAATTGTGAATATATATTATAAGTAATCAGTAAATTGTTAAGGTTAATTTGTTGTAAAATTTGTATAAATGTGCTACAAATTAATCTATAATATTTCAAAGGTATTTGTAAACAATAATTAATTAAGTGGGTATATATATGGCACATATTATTCAAATCAATATGTGTTAAAATTACTTCAACTGTATTTAAATATAATTTGAATGAAAATAAAATATAGTGTACTTTACATAGAAATGATTTGATTAAAGTTGGAGTTGTGCTGAGGGATGTTTAAAGTGAATAGCTAGTTAATATGCATGATGCTGAATATAGTTTTGATGTTGTTGTGTGTTTGCAAGTCATAGCATTGTTGGACGAGGACGACGATCTGTCTGAAGTACAACCCGATGCGGTGCCCAATGAGGTGCGGGAGTGGTTGGCCTCCACTTTCACTAATAAGAGTAATAATTCACAAAAAAGACGGCCCGAAGACAAACCAAAGTTCAGATCAGTTGCTCATGCGATTAGGGCTGGCATTATGGTCGACAGGTATGGCATTTGTCATTCTGTCTTATTATATGATAACCAATAACTAATAAATAATATTTTTAAACAGGATATATAGACGTCTGGCGGGTGCGACCGCTTTACATATACCACCAGACGCTGCGGTGCTTTTAAAGGTATGTCTTACACATCATTTCAAAAGCTTTGTATTTTGAAACATAATTTTTAAAGTTATTATAAAATTGGTGACAATATCCCCCATATATTAATCAAACATTAAATACCGTATATTGTAATCATTTTTAAAAATCAAATAATATAACAAATTACTCACAATTGTCAGAATAAATATAATCTTATATCAAAATTAGAATATAAATTACCTACATACAATTACCCAAAATGCTACATATGGCAGATAGATGTGTATTTACATAAGTTGTTATAACATTTATAAGGTATAAAATTAAATTGTTATAAGACATTGTATATTCTTAACAAGAATTTATCTAATTCATGTACACAGTATCCACAATATATTAATATTTTTAGAATAAATGCTTGATTTTATATCATTTTAAAAATTTAATTAAATACTGTATATTGAAAATGTGACTAAAAGAGTTGTTTGCAAATGTATCTAATCATAAATATTAATACGTTTAGTTGTACTTTGAAAAAATAATGCAAAATTGTTAAAAATATAAAAAGTTTGGAAAGTTTTATATAAAATATACATTATTAAATAATGTTATGGTAATTTACCATAAGTAATGTAAAACATCAATTTAAATGGTATTTGCCATATTTAGTATTTGAAGTGCACTATTTGGTCACAACTTCAATAATTAGCCATTTGACCGGTTCTCTGACAGCAGAAAGTGTTCTAATAGTATATATGGCCCGTATAGATCCAAACAAAGGTTCATTTACATTTTTTACATAGGTTTACATAGAAAAATGTTAAAATGAACCTTTGTTTCAATCTATTTGAATTATATGCTGTTCACATCCAACATACATACAGTATAAAATGACATTACTCTGTGATATCACTGATACCTATGATTTACCTATGATAATACTATGTCAACTCAAGTTCAAATATGATTTTTCAAAATCATGGACAATGTTATATACCCTTTATATATTATTACTCCGATTCCTAAAACTTAGAAATTGCAACTTATATTTCCATTACAAACTACAAGAAATCATATTTGAACTTGATTTGACATAGTAGATTTGATCAGTAAAGTAATGTCATTTTATACGGTATGTACGTTGTATGTGAACACCATATACATTAGAAACTATTAGAAACACTGTCTGTCTGACAGAAATACTCATTTCGTAAGAGTATTGAATCGGATTACATGAATAGAAGAGGAAATTTGCATTTTTACTTAAACCACTTCACTCTTAAGCTTAATACTTTTATTATTAGGTTGTATTAGGTAATGACAGAATATGATTATAATCATTCTGTATTGTCGATTACCCACAACATTATACTATAAAGTATAATGTTGCTATTATATAAATATTAATAGAAATGTAATTTTAATAATTAACTATAATTATACTTGTAATTATAATTGTAATAAATATTAATTAAATGTTACAAAGGGTGTCGACGAATGGTGTTTTGATGTGTTTGCGCTGAACAACACATGTAAAGGACAAGTACTTCGATGCCTGAGCGCTGATTTGCTGAATAGATACGGATTGATACATAAATTCAAAGTATTTACATTTATAACTATACAGTATATTAGAATTTATAATTTCAATGTGGTTTTAAACTGATTTTTCCCACAGATTCCTTCATCCAATTTAGAGAAATTTTTGTTGCAAATTGAGCAAGGTTATACCAAATACTCAAATCCATACCACAATAATCTGCATGCAGCTGATGTCACTCAAACCGTCCACTACTCTCTCTGGGCCACAGGATTGGCTGTAAGTCATCCGACAGTTCTTTCTTAACACTTATTTATTAATATTACAATTATTGTGCATTGAATTCTTTAGTTGGTAATTATTTAATTATCAATATAATTATTTTTAATTATATCCCACTATTAAAGAAAACATTTATTGTGCAGTATACAAATGACATAATACAGTAACACATGATATAATACTGTATTAATTTTATGTTTTCTTCAAAGTTTTAATCATAGTATTTATTTGAGTTTAAAAATTTTAATTTTTTCTATAAAATAAATGAGTGTTTTGTATAACAGGAGTTTCCATCCATACTCTGCTTGATATAATGTGATTATTATGTTGCCTAATATGTTTTAGCACTATTATTTTATTTTTGCCTAAAACTAAATAAGTTCTCAATAACCTTAAACCTTCACTGACAATACTGTATATGAGTTATACAATGTAATAGTTAACCGCAATTTTAATTAATATAACACAATATGAATTACAAGCCTAATAATTTAGTAGAATATTAATTATACTGTAGTACAAAAATGGTCCCAAATTTACCACAAAAACGATTGGGAATATAAGATAATAAAATTATTATGAGTACAGTATATACACTCAAACAATCTATAATGTTCCGTAGGGGAAACGCGAATAACCTTTGATTGGGTAATTTAATTTTAATGATTCCAATTAGAAAAATATTGCCTGATAATTCAGTAATCGATCCATATATAATACGTCATTGTACTTATTATAGTTAATTTTCTAGTGAATTATAAGAAAGGAAATAATTTCTATTGAAAATGAATAGCATTTTTGAGCTATATTTTTGGTGCCTAGATTGGGGCCTTATTTAGAACCTAGATTTAATTTTAAAAATTAATGTTTTATGCACACATAGGATAGATAATTTGTCAATTTCACAATTTATTTTAAACTATCTGTATTTTGTGGAGGGTTTCAATAACTCAAAAACTACTAGATTAATTTTAACATTGTATATGTCAAAATGCTTGAAATGATAGATGAGTGGACATGTATTTTAGGAATTTTCTAAAAAATATCTGGATTAAAGGAAAGATGTCTGAAGTTAATAAAATTCTACATTTCATTTGTTTGTCAATTAAAATTTATCAAGTCAGTTTTAACATTTAATAGTGCAAATTGACAAAAATTATTAATAAAAAAAAGCATTTTTTTAGATTCTCAATATTTTATAGTTTTGATGAATTTTTCATGAAAACTAAATTTGTATAATCGTTAATATTGTTTATAGTGAAATGACATTCACATTAACCTCGATTTGTACACATTTTCAATGGTTTTCAATGGAAATTTTTTCATTTATTATAATTCACCTAGAAAATTAACTATGATGGGTGCGATGGCATATTATATATGGATTGATTACTGAATTATCAGGCAACATTAGTCTAATTGGAATCATTAAAATCTAATCAGCCAGTTAAAAGTTATTCGCGTTTCCCCTACGTGGATATATTATATTGTTCGAGTTGTTATTATATTAAACAAAACCGGTCTAGGGAGAAATATATTTGGGCTGCCAATTGCCAAGCATATTGATATCAGTATGTCAATGTACAGAATGGTCACTTAATGGATTATCCATTGTTAAAATTAGCAAATGGCCAGAGACGTCCGAGTACTGGTCAATTTTCGGATAGCGCATATATAAAATTTAGTATATATTGGTAACATTAGTAATGTTACATTGCGTTTAGGTGATTTATCATAGTTTTTGTGAATCACCAATTTTAATGTAATACACTACATATCCGCTATCCAAATTTGACCAGTACTCGGACGTCTCTAGCCATTTGCCGATTTTATCAATGGATAATTCATCTGTTGACCATTCTGTACATTGACACCGATATCAATATGTTTGGCAATTGGAGGCCCAAATATATTCCGTCTAAATATAAAAGTTAAATGTTTTATATAATGTGACAAGTTTAAAACTTATAAATTATATTAGTTATGTTTATTTCTTTGATATTTGTAACAATCGGTTCTTACTTTACTGATAGGATATAATAGTATGCATTAATATAATATTTTATTTATAAATTCATATATAAGTTAATAATAACAACAAATATTCTTTAATTTGTAAGTATATTGTGTATATAATTTTATAGTCCATTTATTGT